CCATCCCCGCCGAGTTCGTTATTCTCCGCTCCATCGTCCTTCCTCACAAGGAGCTGAGCCGCAGCTACAAGAACCAGATTATCCTGTGAGTCAGCTGCTTGCTGGGTTTGAGGGGGGTGGGGGGGGCTAGTGCCAGCCCCCCCACTCCCTGCTGTGCCCCACAGCAAGACCCTGTGCTGGGGCTTCACCTCCTGGGAGGTTCCCGGCACCCCCAGAGGGGTAGGTGCAGGCCAGGAGCCCTGCAAGTGCCTGACTCCTACTCCAGACAGACATTAAAGCTGGTGAGCATCAGCCTTGCGTGCTGCTTTTCCTGCAGCCCAGGGACCAGCCCTGGGGCAGGGCCAAGGCTGCGGGGACAGCACGTCCCCGGGCTGAGGCTGGCGACAGAGCACTTGCTGCCTGCAGCATCTCAGGTCCCGAGCTTTGGGTGTTTCTCCACCAAAGGGCACTACTGACATGGTCTTGCCGCCCCTCACCAGGCTCTCCTTGCCCTGCAAAAGCGGCTGTCTGCAGCTCCCTGGAAGGTCTTGGCCCGTTTCAGAGGCTGGGGAGCTTCGAACGTGCCTGTCCTGCGTATGCACCCTGCCCTGCAGGAGCTGGCTGTGAGGATCCCGGTTCCAGCAGTGTGATTACAACAGCCTGAGCTGGCCTTCTGCCTGTTACTGGGAAAACAGAGAGGCACGGGGCTGTCCTAAGGGCACTGGCACATGAGGGCTGGGGTAGACAGGCAGGCTGCTGGCCCTGGAGGGACCTGCAAAAGCACCTCTTCTCCCCGCACCAATCCCCCCACTGGGGTTGGGGATGAGCCAGGAGAGCTGCCAGTCCTGCCAAGACCTGTGCAGGCAATCTAGGCAGAGCTCAGGGTGATGGCAGCAGGCCCCTGCCACGCCGGTGGGCCAACAGCCTCCTCTGCACCAGCATGGGTGTAGCTTGGGTGGCTTGCTGTGCATCTTCCCTTGCACCAGCCCTGTCTACAGGGCACCAGAGCAATCAACATGCATGCAGGTGGCAGAGATCTACCACTCTGCTGTGTCTCACAACCTGTTTTTATTGAAGGCAGCTCCCTGCTGATCCTGGCACACTTTCTGTGACAACCAACACTGCCCTTTACCCACTTAACCTCTCTGTCTGTGGAGCTCTGTGCTCTGCTGAAGGCCCCATCACGCCTCTCGCCTTCAGCAAGGCTCTGCATTAGGGATTCTCCATCCATCCGGTACCACCCCTGCTCGATGGATTTGCAGTAAATCCTTGCTCCCAGCCCTGTGCCTTCCCGTGCCAGTTCTCCTGTGGTCCTGGGCGGGGATTAGCTGTTCCCTAGCTTTAAGTACATTAAACTCCTTTGGTTTTGCCTCTGCCTTGGCTGTGCTGATTTCCGTGCCCACTGGTGAACACCCCTGCGCTGGGGGAAACAGAGCTAAAGTACTTGCTTTTGGGATCATACATGAATTTTCTCCTGCGTCCCACATCTGGCCTGGCTTTTAGTGTGGACAAAGGTTTCTCAGCTGCTGGCCATGGTCCTTGGGCAGTTGTTGTGTAAGGCCTCTGTTCCCCAAGTTCCCCTTGTACACAGTTAATGGAGGCACAAGCCCTTCCCGGGCCTTTGCTCCATTACAGCCAGCTTCTCCCTCTTGGAGAGAGCCAGCTCCATCCCAGCCCTGCGTGGGCTGTGCAGCTCCAGCGCCGGGGCTGGCGGGGAGGAAGGAGTTAGCTGTTCCCTAGCTTTAAGTACATTAAACTCCTTTGGTTTTGCCTCTGCCTTGGCTGTGCTGATTTCCGTGCCCACTGGTGAACACCCCTGCGCTGGGGGAAACAGAGCTAAAGTACTTGCTTTTGGGATCATACATGAATTTTCTCCTGCGTCCCACATCTGGCCTGGCTTTTAGTGTGGACAAAGGTTTCTCAGCTGCTGGCCATGGTCCTTGGGCAGTTGTTGTGTAAGGCCTCTGTTCCCCAAGTTCCCCTTGTACACAGTTAATGGAGGCACAAGCCCTTCCCGGGCCTTTGCTCCATTACAGCCAGCTTCTCCCTCTTGGAGAGAGCCAGCTCCATCCCAGCCCTGCGTGGGCTGTGCAGCTCCAGCGCCGGGGCTGGCGGGGAGGAAGGAGTTAATGGGGCCTCTGCTGAGGAGCCAGGATGTCTGGAAACGCTTGAAGGTTGTCCTGCCCTGAGCAGCAGCAGCTCTGATTACTGGAGGCCAACATCTGGGCTGGAACAGGGGGCCTCCCACATCCTGGGCTCCAGGGCAGGGAGAGGAGGGCCCCAGCTCCGCGGGAGGGGGCCCTGCCTGCCCCCCCATCAGCAAAAGCAGGGTTTTGGGGAGCACTGCTCACCCTTGCTGTCAGTATGGCTCTTGTCTGCTGCCCAGCTGGGCTCCGCCATGCCAGGGAGCCCAGAACGCTGGCACCTGGCAGTGGCAGGGGGGGGGAGACAGCAGCCC